ATGAGGTGCAGTCCCCTTCAGCAGCTCCCTTTTTTTACCCTGGCTGCTCACGTAGACCTGCAGGAACCTCTTTTGCAATCTCACTTCCCTGAGTGGGGCAGAAGCATCAGGAAATTATGATTTCTCACAGGCATGTAGGTGGGATGATATGGATTTACCCCAATTTTTTGGAATCTCTGATGCCCAATTGTTTAAAGAGCTCTTCTCACCTCACTCTGTCTTACAGATCAAACAGAACCCTCTTCCAGCCTTTGTTTGCTAGAGTAAACAAGCCCAGTCCTTTAGTCTCCACCTTTAAGATAGGCTTTCCATTTTCCTGAATATCCCAAAGTAACTCTTTTCACCTGGTATCAGTGAATCCTTTTTTTTTCTCCCCATACTTGCACATCTTATTCCAGATGAGTGCTGCAGTAACTCTCAAAGTTCCTTGTATTTACCAGGATGATAACCAACCAGAGACTGGCCTATCTAAAAATCTAAGAACTTCTCTGGAGTTCTGTAGTTACCCGTATGTTCATCTACTTTTTTCCTCATACTCAAAGAAATACATTGATTCACCTCATGCACCTCCTCTGATCATGAGGAGAGACAACCCACTATGTTTGTCCCCTGAGCTGAGGATCTAATGTCAGTATGTGATGTCAAAATTTATAAACACTACTTGTCTCCTTTCACTAGCATAAATAATGTAATGACAAGGATCAGCATGAGCACATCCTTGGAATTACAACTTTTTCATACGTATTTTAAAAATCTGATTTTCAACAAGAAAACGACAATGCACCATTCCAGTAAGCAGAAATAGCACAAGAATGAACTGACATGAGCTGTGCTGGATGAGTCTCTGCTCTGTAGCTCCATCAGTGCAGCTACGCTGTGCCTTCTGTATGAGAGGAACAGAAAGGAACGTTCCGAAGAGAAGGAACTTTTCTGACAGGACAAAAGGAATTTAGAGCTTTTTCAAACCCTAAACAGTGGAGCTATGTTGCCAATCCAGGACCGTGAAAAATATTTTTCCATGTTTATAAAGCCAGACCATAGAAACTTTGCTATATTAACCTCTGTGCCATGTTCCTGGGAAATAATACTAAATCCCTTGAGTTTCGTCCATGCTTCTGTTTAGATTTGGAATAACTGGATGTTGTGCAGGCCATAATAAAGTTCAGTAGGTTTGGTGTTATACAGGCATATTGTATTATTGTTATGTACAGCATATCTATTTTTCTATCATTTCTATTTATATATTGTAACCTTTATGTTTTTTCTACTCTTTTTTTTTTTTTTAAATAGCTATGAATCACATTTCAACAATGGACACAGGCAATTAAATCACTGTGATGTGTAGATTATATATATATACACTATGTATCTGTGAAGCCATTTTTAAAGTCATTCGAATGGCTAGTGTGCAACTTACACACTTGAGTAATTACGTAAGTTCTGTAGATGATTGGAAGAATGGAGGTTTATGCACATTTATTTCTATGATGAATGCTGCTCATACATCAGTTGTTGCAAATACTGTTCTGAATGTGACGGTGTGCACAATAAGGTTAAAATTCCTGCAATTTGGCTGCCAATGCAGCAAGTCTCTCCCTAGAAGAAAGACGCACAGCTTTCCCTGCGCAATGACTGTCAGCACTCAGCTGGTTAGGAAAGTTCATTTGGCTTGAACATTTTGCATGTATTTATTGTTTTCAAAAGGGTTGAACATAGCATGTATTGAAGATATATTGAAAGGGGATTATTAAAGCCATATTGTTTTTTAAAATTGAGTTTGTTTACTTAATTTCCTTACTTTTTCCCATGAACTTTGGTTTTCCCTTGAACAGCAGCAACACAGCAGCTGTGCAGTGTTTCCACTGCAGATCTCAGACTGCACCTTAGATAGGTGTGTTGGGTTAAATAGGACGTTTCCTTTACAGGACAACAAGGAAAGTGTCTTGAGGAACAGGATGTGGTGATAACAATGTGAAATCTCTACAAAGGTATCTTTAAGGAAAGACATCACATATGTCTGAATTTTGAAGGAGTCCTACATGTGGTGTCTGCCTCTCGAGCTACTCAGGTCTTCACTGTAAAGCACAGTCATGCTAGAGCTCAGGATGCAACAGATATGCTAGTTAGACTTGGCAGAAAATAGAGATGTGCTCTACCAAGCTGTATTACATGTGTTTTCAAATGCCTTGTCTGCAAGAAGCAAGTGTAGGTAGAATATAAGGGGCTTTTGCTACCCTATACAGATAATATGAAAAAGCTGAAATCAGGGTTCATGATACTAAAGGGAGCGTTTGCAAGCATTACACTTCCCCCAACAGTAAGTATTCCAGCAATCTATTCCTGTTACCAGGCATGGGGACACTGAATGGGCCTGAAAGAGATTTCCATCCTCAGAGCACAGAACAGGAATCACCTTCCAGAGTCATAACAAAGCTTTGGAATGGCCTTCCCTGACTCGTGGGTCAGACTGCAGGTTCTTTCTGGCTCAGAGCATGCTCTGCTTGCTTATGTTAGAAAGGTCCCAGCACCATTTCTCAAAGTACTAGCATCCATGTGTGCCCACCTGCATGCTTTCCATCTCCAAGAACAATAAGGGAAGGCAAAAGTCCCCAGCTACAGTGCTGTTCATGGAGAAGTGAAGTGAGAAAAAGCCATTTGTTGAGGTTAGCAGGAGGCTTCTCTAACTCTAACCACTATTTAACCTTGGGTTTTGTGTAATTCATTGCTAATAATGCCAAATGATGCATTCTGAAGCCACTATTACACAGTGTGCAGTATCGTCAGGGAGAATGAAGACTATGAAAGGCTAACAAGTTTTTTCCAAGTCCTTTCCTCCAGGAGATAACTCCCTCAAGATTTCAGTAGCTCTAGCAGCTGTGCCTATGCCTTTAAGCTGCCTATAATCTTTATAGCAGTTTTTCGGTGAGTGCTGGGAGCTATTTATGTGAGCTGCAGGCTTCCTTTTAGTAGCTCTGCTGACAGCAGTCTGAACTACAATGACTCTAAAGTGTGTGGGTTACCAGCATGACTAGCAACCAACAGTAGTGTTTGGGGTGTTGCTTATGATGTATGATGCTCAGCAGCCTAGCCCTGATGTGCTGACTCTTCCTATCCCTCCCAGCTGTGCATCCAGGGCAAGAAGCACTGCTTGACACCACGCTGCTCTCTTTGAGTAGGAAGAAGGCAAGGGGGCTACAGCCAGACTCTAACACCAGTATCACACTCTAGGTCATTTCTATTGATATGTCTTCATCTCCCTGACAGTGGTCTGAAACAGGACAGAGCTGCTTGGGGGGGGGGGGGAGTGAGCATTAACATCAACAAGGGACTGAAAACAAAGGCTTTTTCCAGAATGAGATGTTGTCCAAATGGCATTTTAATTACAAAAAAAAAAAAAAATAATTTTTTAAAAAATCAAGGACACTAGAACTCACTTTGGTGACAATTTTTTTATTTCCTTTTCTCAACAGTTTGCTCTCAGAGAAAGCTGCTTACCTCTGGCTCTGCTCCTAAAATAGAAAACTGGAGGGTCTGGCTACAAATGGTTTAAGACTCCTCATTTGTGCCGTCACACTGAGCACCGGACTTTAGCTGCTGCTGGGCAGTGATTCATCCCTGGGGAGTAGGACTTCCTCTGTTCATCCGCAGGCCTTCTGGCTTGGTTGCAAGATGTAAAATCTTCCACTGTTCAGTGCATCAGACCCAATTCTGTTAAGATACTGAGTTACACCATCACTGGTATGCTGACATCGGCTGTTGCTTACTAAATATGTGATGCCTTTTCTGATGGATGGATGGATTTATTTATTTATTAATAAAGGTTTATTACGTCCAGAATGTGAAAGGGAAAAAAACAAAACCAAAACTCTTTCAGTGAATCAGAGAATATCAGTTTGGAAGGGACCATCTGGTCCAACCTTTCTAGGCAAAGTATGACCTAGACTAGATGTCCCAGCACCCTGTCCAGCTGAATCTTGAAAGTGTCCAACACTAGGGTGTCCACCACTTCCCTGGGTAGATGATTATTCTAATAGCTGATTGTTCTCATTGTCAGAAATTTTCCTCTTGTGCCCAGTTGGAATGTGCCCCAGTGTAACTTGTACCCATTACTCCTCACGTTTTTCCATGTGACTCCTTGTAAAACAGGAGTCCCCATCTTTGTAGCCACCTTTTAAATACTGGAGCATGGTGGTGAGGTCTTCTCTGAGCTGCCTTTTCTCAAGGCAGAACAGAAACAGTTCTCTCAGCTTTTCCTCACATCGCAAGTTTCCCAGTCCTCTGATCATCTTTGTGACACTTCTCTGGACCCTCTCCAGCCTGTCCACTTCTTTTTTTTTTTGTATAGCAGGAACAAAAACTGAACACAGGATTTCAGGCATGGCCTGACAAGTGCTGAGTAGAGTGAGACAATGACATCTTTATCTCGGCTGGTGATACCCTTACTGTAGTAACCCAGCATCCTGTTGGCTTTCTTTGCTGTGGCTGGACACTTCACTCACACTGAGCTTATCGTCCACCAGGATCCACAGGTCCCTCTACACAGAGCTGCTCCACAGCCAGGCAGATCCCAGTCTGTGCTGCACTTTTGGATCCTGTTTTCCCAGGTGTAAGACCTTACACTTGTCCCTGTTGAACTTAAGCAAACAGAATTGCATGTAATTGAAATAAACAGAAAAACATGCGATGAGAATCAGTGTTAAAACAACAGAAGCATTGATATGGGCAGGTCTGTGTTGGTTGCATAGAGCCTGCCTGAGTCTAAATCATGCCTCTGAAGCACCGCGGTGGTTCCTTTAACCGAGCTTTGCCTGGACCGCTGAGGTGCCAATGCCAAAGCTGCAGCCCAGCAGTGCCTTAGGTGAGCACGATGGCCTCCAAGGAGGGCCAGACCCCTCCTTGCCGGCGGCTGCTCCGCCTCGTCCCGCCTAGCCTCCGGGCGTGGCTGGAGGGGTCCGAGGGGCGGGACCAGGACCAGGACCAGGACCAGGACCAGGACAGGGGCCAGGACCGAGACCAGGAGCGGGACGGGTCCCACCGCATCGGAGGGTCCCGCCGCTCCTCGCCATGCTGCCGGCGCGCCTCCACCCATGGCGGCTCCTGTCCGCTTCGCCGCTCCGCCTGCCCGCGCCGCGGGGAGCCGCCGCCGGGGAGCCCGCCCGGATCCCGGGCACCACCCGCGGTAGGGACGCCGGCGGGAGCGGGACGGGCACACGGACACGGCTCCGCGGCGCCGGCAGCGGCTCGGGGCTGTCGGGGAGGGTTGGTGGGGACCGGGCGGGAGCGGGGCTGGGGCCGGGGCTGCCCCGGCTCGGGGGGTCGCGGGCTTTCCCTGCGAGCTTGGGTACCAGCGGGCCGCGGGGAGTTGCTGCCACTGCGTGAGGGGCTATTCGAGGGACAGCGTGGTGATATCTGCGGGGCGGACACCTCGAAGTTTATTCCGTGAGCTCCTCTTGCAGAGAGCGGTACGGGCAGGGTTTTCGCTTCCACCCTTCCTACCACCCATCATTCAGTCCTAGCGCAAAGTGTGACGGAGTGCTTTTTTTTCTCATTCTTGAAGCCGAGCAAGCTCACAGGGTGGTTGCAAGTTACAAGCCTTCGAAGTTTGACAAAAAAATCCTCGTCTGGACTGGGCGTTTCAAGACAGAAGAAGATATTCCTCAGAGGATCCCGTAAGTGCGCTGCCCTTGTCCAAGGGGAACATGGAGCTGAAGGGAAAGTGGTGGCGTGATCCTCATACCGAGCGTTTCCACAGAGCTGGAACCAGTCAGATTTTCAACACTGAAAACTTGGAAACAAATGAGAGGGCAGAAGAGTTTCCTGTCCTGGTTAGAGGTTAAGATGAAAAAATGTTCCTTACTGGAGTCCCCAGAGCCTGGGGTTAAAAGCTGGATCCATCTCAGTAGATAGCCTTGGTTACACTTACGTACTGGCTTGTTTGTTTTGCTTATTCCTAACACGCAGTTGGAGAAGGATGTTATTGGTAAACAGATATAGCTCCCAGTCTAAGGGAGATGACTGTCACTGTATAATTTACATCCAATAAATTATGATTTATTATAGAATTTGAGGAAAAATAGAGAAGGGAGTTATGAGAGAAACATACCCCACCAAGGAAAACCAAGTACTTAATGTAGCCTTAGCCTCCCATTCTTGCTGACCTGCTGGACTAGATGATCTTTGAAGGTCCCTTCAGACCCAAATCACATTGATTGTGTGGCTCTCTGATTCACTGGAAGTTAGCATCCCCGAGGAGAGTCAGTCACCGAACACACAAACCCACTCCAATGCCAACTGCTGCCTTTTTCTTAAGATGTTGGAAAACATCTTGGAGGTCTCTCTACAAGGCACAACTTTTTATCATCGCAGGATGACCATGGTCCCTGTCTTGGGTGGTGTGTTCTCTTCATCAGGGACTGCAGCAATAGGACAAGGGGGAATGGGATTAAAGTTAAGCAGAGGAGATTTAGGTTAGATATAAGGAAGAAGTTCTTTACTGTGAGGGTGGTGAGGCACTGGAATGGGTTGCCCAAAGAAGTGGTAAATGCTCCATCCCTGGAAGTGCTCAAGGCCAGGTAAGGCAGGGCCATGAGCAACATGGTCTAGGTTGAGGCATCCCTGCCCATGGCAGGGAGGTTGGAACTAGGTGATTTTAAGGTCCTTTCCAACCCAAACCATTCTATGATTCTATAAGCAGCATGCAGACCTGTGTCAGGCAGCAAGGTACCCCCTCTGCCTTCTCCTGATGGTTTTACTGGTGGTTGCTGGGCTAGACAGTGGCTTTCCAAATGGTCCAGCCTTTCTTGCACTGTGTTAGTTTCACCACTGTCCCCTAGAGAAAGGTTCAGACAGGTCTCAGAAGCTCGTAAAGCTGTTCAGGTCTTCGGGAGGTGTTTATAATGAGACATACATTTGCCAGTCCACACACACATACACAAATTTCTGTGTGGTAGCTGGCTGAACAAAGTGAGTGTCACCACTTTGTGCTTTCTGGGTGAGCAAAGTCTTTTTTGGAGCTGTAAGATCATAACTAGTGACTTATTAGGAGTTGTGAGACATTAAAGCTGAACTGTGTCGCTGCTTTAACAATTAAAAAAGACATAACTGCAAGCTATTCTTACCTGCAAACACAATATAGCTGCTGTACTAAGGGTCAAGTCTGCTATTCAAGGTGGTTCTGGTTTGGTTTTGTGAGATGTTTTGATCTGTTTTTAAGAAAAAGCTGTTACTGACTGCAGCTGGGTTTACCCAGAGTCTTCATTAAGGATTAAGTAGCAGAGGCCCTAATGTGCAATTAGGAAAGAACATAATCAGGTCTGTGTTACTTAAAGCAGAGGCAGAAAGCAGGGAGAAAGTGAAAATCTGCTTCAGAAGAGTTTCAATTAGTGTGTTGTGAAATATAATTAGGTTAATAAGCCACCCTAATAACATTTATGGCTTTGCTTTTGTTACTACAAATGGATTAGTGGATTAATGATTTGATGTGCTGGTCTGATGTGCAGTTTGCTTTAAAGATGATTTTTACCATTGCAGAAAACAAAAGCAGTTACTCCAGGCCTTGTCAGTCACCTGGAAGAAACACAGGAGGTGCAACACATGCTTGCGTTGTGTGTGTTGGCAGAGAAGGGGGTAGTGTGGCCCAGCTGCTCGTCAGGCTTGCCCTCTTCTGTGGCATTAAGCCTTGGAGAGCAGCGATGGCAGCCCTCAGCCTTGGTACAAATCTGCGTGCAGAACTTCTACTGCAGAAACCTCAGCTCTGCCCCATCCCACCACCCATCCTCTTTGAAGTAAAGCTAAAGGTATTTTTGGGGAAAGAGATTATTACAAGATCTTGCTCACAATAGGAAATCAATTATGTCTATATATCCTTTTGCCTATCTATATATTATGTATATTCTTTATCTTATGACCCTTTGTATTTATATATAAACCATTCTCATGTGACTTACAAAAGGAAAGTAAGTGCACAGCAAGTATTAGAATCATAGAATGGTTGGGGTTGGAAGGGACATTAGAGATCCATCTAGTGTCGTGTGTCCCCCCCCCGCCATGGGCAGGGACACCTCCCCCTGGACCAGGTTGCTCATAGCTGTGTCCAGCCTGGCCTTGAACAGTACTAGGGATGGGGCACCCACAACTACTTTGGGCAACCTGTGCCAATGCCTCAGCACCGTCACAGTAAAGAATTTCTTCCTAATATCTAATCTGTCAGTTTAAAGCCATTCCCCCTTGTTCTGTTACTACATGACCTTGTAAAAAGTCCCTCCCCAGATTTACTGTAGGCCCCCTTTTAGGTACTAGGTCTCCCTGTAGGAGAGGAATGAACATCTAAAAAACTGTACTCCCAAGTACAATGTTTGAAGACTTGCTGAAAATTTTGAGACCATTTTAGTGATGTGGGCATTTCCTGTACCACCAGTTCACAGCAGCATGCAGCCTGCCCGGAATGATGGAGGGTAGAAAGGGGAGCCTGTCCCAGGGTGGCTCACTGGATTGTACTTTTGCAGCAACTCCTGCCAGATGCAGGTCAGGGGTTTTCATTACTTTTACCTTAGATGACCAGCAAAAGTAATCATGTAGATTGTTCTTGTTTGGTTACGTGATCCTGTAACAGAGAGGAGGCTGACACCAGCTGCCCACTTTGCATAAAGCTGCTGTTTTTCTAAAGAACTAAAAACTCTTCATTTGTAGCAGATCAAGCTCTGTTTTAACCACCTACGCACATATGTGAAGTTCCTAACCAATATTATATGGGACACTATCTAAACAGATGTGACATTAATTACTAAAGTTAATTTTGAATAAAAGGAACTTGCTTTTACCACATCTGATTGACACCACATATATGTCTCCAGCTGTTTAAAACAGATAAACCCCATTTTACTTCCACTATGTTTAAACAGAGCTAAAGGAATGATTTGTGGTAAATTTACCCCAAATATTTGAATACAAATATTTATTGCAGGAGTTCTGTTTTGGGTTGTTTCCTTTTTTTTTCTCCCCAGCTTAAGAAAGAAAGAATTTCAAATCCATTAGATGTTGATTTTCCACTGGAAATGGGTTAGGGTCAGAAAATGCCAAGTCGTTGGGTGGTCCATAACCCATCACAGCAAGCTGGAGATGCATCTTTTAGAAACTATTACTTTTCCATTGTGTTGTTAAGTCTGCAATGCTTTGAAGAAGAGATACTTCAGTTCTGTAATGATTCAGTAATTTTAATTGCAGGCCAGAGATGTTAGATAAGGCAAGAAACAAAGCTCGAGTTAAAGCTTGTTACATCATGATTGGACTCTCCATCGTTGCCTGTTTTGCAGTGATTGCCTCAGCTAAGAAGGTGAGTACAGCACTAGCTAATTACCATGATGGAATTCTGTGGAAAGCAGACAACCTAAATAAACAGCAACAGCTTACACCTGTCCTCATTGTAGCTAATTCACCATTCCACTGCCCCTAACATGTAAGTGGCTGCTGGCTGTTCTTGAGAGGGGTCTCTAGGGTGCACCATTATTCCTACTGCGCTACTCTGAAGTGGATGTTCTACTTCTGCAGGCTGCTGCACGTCACGAGTCCTTAACAAGCTGGAACTTGGCAAAGAAGGCCAAGTGGCGGAAGGAGGCTGCGCTAGCAGCGGAGGCAAAGACCAAGTAACTTCACACACAATGCTGAATGTCCTTGTGGGAGCAAAATTAATGGTTGCTGAGAGTGATAAGCGAATATCCCCAGTAACCAGACAGTTGTAGCATTGTACATCCAGGAGCCAAAAAAAGTACTTACAAGATCACAAAAAGAACTGGAGGGTCTCTTAGAGACACTCAATGTCCTTGTTGCATATAATTAATCTTAAAGTGTTTTGCATATGATTGAAATTTGCTTTTAAAGGAGAAGACGTAGTTTCTTAAGAATGACAGGTATGTTTGGTTAAATATTTGCAAAACATATTTAAACCCCAAAAACTTTGTCTAGTGATAGTGCAGAGTTTTAAAATGCACAAATCAGCCACTTTGAATTCATTTGCCTCAGTGCGGTATTCAAAAAGGCAGATGCATTTTCTAGTTTAAGCAGCCACACTTATTCAACCACTAAATAAATACAACAAACATCTGTAAAATAGGTTTTATTGGTTTCTGTATGGTATTTTGAGATTTAACATTCCATAATATTGCATACTATTCATGTGTTCTGTTACAGTAATGGGCCTTTGGCCTGGATTTAAAGATGCACTATTACTACCTGAAGTTCATATAGGCAAATTTAGTTCCCACACATTACATGAACATATTGTGCCGTAACTAAATGAAATTTCTCATTCCAGATTTCAGTGAACTCCTGAGGTCACACAGTTAAACTTCAGGTATCAACTGGCAGATCTATTACAAAAATCCTCAGTTGTACAATTTAGAAAATTTAAACTGAGCATTACCTGTAGAGGATAGGCAATAGTGCATCTTTTCTATTTTTAAAAAGACAGACCCAACAATAAATATTTTCCAGTTGAAAATGTGTTCTACAGCTAGCTTATTTCTGTGTCAACATTATTACTATTTTCTGATTGCTGCTAGCAACAGTGTTTAAAGCAAATACTAGGAAATTAAAAAGCTGTATGAACCAGTCCTCAGACAAAAGTGCAACAATGAAAAAATTAGGTATGATTCAGTGTGTCAAGAGTAGGGAACTAAAAAATATAATCTCATGCTCTGCCTAGTTGCATAGATTAGCTAGTTAATATTCACATTTAAGCAGAACAAATGGTACCCTTTTAATTAAAGCCAAAACCCCAAACCCCTGTATTTTTAAAGACTTTGCAACTGATGGGGCACTTCAGAGTCCGTATCTAGAGTCAAACTTAAAAGATTTTCCTCTCACAGTTGTGTTTTCTTTTTTCTGTACCCTGGTTTCATCATCCTATTCGCACCCCTGCCTGCAAATGACTACACCAGAGTTGGCCTTAAGTCATTATCTCTGTTTTTTTCATTGTTTATGTATGTGCTTTTTAACAAAGTGGGATGTAACCCCGGTGATAATACAGGAGAGGCCATCCTGTACATTTAACCTTTAAAGAGCTTTCATTAACAATTTTAGGGTAAATCATGTTGAGCTTAAATAATGATTTCTATTAGCCAAATTCATCATTTTTAGTTCCCTTTTAAACCATTACACTTAAAATGTATCAGAGGCATGAAATACAGTTTATCTAAATGCGTAAAGTGCAGTCACTAACTGTTCACACATATAGAATAATATATCCACGCAACTGAAGACATTATTTCAAAACAAATGTAATACTTTAAATGTCCCCTCTTTTCTTCATTTTCAAGTCTTTATGTAAAGATTTTTATAGTTCAGATTTGGTTTAAATTAGAGAGGCTTATAAATGCAGTTTTTACAGGGTTCTCCAAATAAAAAGCAGGCACAGCTGGTTATGTTATCAAAACAAGGTCGTTAGAAACAACAAAATACCCTGTTACCTGAATATTTTTCTTACATTAGAAGAACATTGAAATTCAGCATTTACTAGTCATCCTGGTAGATTTCCATTATTGTTACCCTGTACTTTGAACAGATGGGGGGGGGGCACACAGGAAAGAAGGAAGCTCAGTATATGAAAACCTAAAACTATGAGAGTAAAAAGGGCATAAATACAATCATCTAGCATTATATGAAAATTTGGCAGCTGTACTCAAGATTATCACACTATTCAAAAATGTTGTATGCTGTACAAATCTAGGTTTAAAGTGTCATTTGCTAAAATATCTCATTATTCAGAGTTCATAAAGTAACAGCACTTCTATATACACTTCTAATCTTTCACTAAAAAGACTGAAGAGGTTTCTTCCCTCCCAGTTATATCTTAGTCAAAACTGACCATTAATCTTAGAAAATCCACTTCAAGTCGCACATTCAATTACAATATAGTATATATTGCTGTAACATCAAAGTGAAACATCTTAGAATCTTAACTTGCATGGTAAAAAAATTATAACTATAAAATGGTACTGCAAATGATGCCGCCTTTAACCTGTATTTTTCAGTGCAATATAACATCGTTTAGTGATAAGCACAGTGCCATGGGGTAAGTAATTTAAGTTGAAACTGCAGCTTTTCATGAAGCATGAAATGCTGTTGTATGTCAAGGATTTCACTTAACCCAGGCGATTGATATTAATACAGGTAATAAAAATAATCATACTTCAGAGTTAACCCAAAGTACTGATTTCTCCAAATAAGATATACTACTAATACACCAGAAATACTACTTATATGCAAGTCAAAGCAGAGTACACATTTTTCTGTTATTCAAAATTGTTAAGGTAAATACCAGAATTCTATTTCTTTTAGTGTTTAACAGCAAATACTGTATATTATAGAGCCTAAATATTTAGATGACATTAACTTCTAGTTAGTTTTGGTGTCCACATACTTAAATGATATTTACAGTACAACAAACTTTTCCTTCAACTGAAAAACAGTAATTCACTATTCATTCTTCACTGCAGTATTTCTATTGTCTTACCAAAAGAAAACCAAATTAGTCAACTTAAAGAACAATTCAAATGGTGGTAGTGTATTTGGTCAAAAAGACAACACCTACTGTCTAAACTTTCAAGAACCTACTGTACTAGAAAGGCAAACATTGCAATGTTTCTCGAACTAAGTGGTGCTACCACACTTTGACAGGAGACACCTGTAAGCCATCTGCTTGGTGATTTGTGCAAATCAGCATCTCTTGTCACTCATAATCGCGGCATTCTTGTGGTAACTACAGCAACTGCTTCCACTGCAAAGTACTGTACTTGTGGCTGACTTTTAATGCCATTTAGCAGCTTTAATTACAGAGTCAACACCAAATGACCAGCAAGCTCTCTGCTGATTCCAATTGGAGAACTTCTGAAATAGTTCTCATTCCACATAATTCAGAAAAAGCTTTTTCATATACTCAATATTATATTAGGTAATTAGCATTATATATCTATTATGTCTTTAAATACTTTTTTATAAATAAATTCCAACAGTGTGTGGTAAAGTAAGTAATTCATAAAAGTTCCACAATTTAAATAAATATTTTTCACATTCCAATTCAGCTTCTTGCAAGCTCATCTTTAATTCATGCCTTAGTTCTGAAGCAATGTTTTTGCTTCAGTACAAGAGGTAGATTTGATAGAGACTGGGCAAGTCAAGCCTACTGCTAAAAATGCAACCATTAGTAACTGTATTGCTGATATGCAGTTTGAGACTACATGAAAATTTCAGAACCACTACCTAAAATTCTACAAAGTCTTAGCTTAACAGTTCTTCTTAAATCACATTTAATTCTTTTAGACATTATTACTCACAGTTTTTTTCTGTACATTAAGAAATAATGAAAAACACAAATACAAAACAAAGAACAGTTGTATCTAACACAATATATAAAAGTGCATGAGCTCTTTCTTCATCTATTTCTGCAAAACATACTCAACTTTTCCTCTAACTTTGGCCATAAAGAAAAGACCTCTGAGGAAGAAAAAAACCCAAAACCAAACACCCAACCCAAAACCCTACAAGTATTTACATTTTATGCTTGCCTTCAGTAGTTTACAGCTGAAACCCCTCCATTGGAGCCTCCTGCTGTTGAAACAGAAACTGCTGCTGACTTTCATCCACCTGAGGTGCAATACTGGAGTCCTCTTCTTCAACACCAAAGTAATGTTCTATGAGTTCAAAAGCCTTTTGGTAGATCTCTTGGTTTTCATGCCTCTGGAGAAATTCAATTTTATCAAGTCCTGAATTTAAAACAAAACATTTTCAAAATCTAGTTGCTTAAAATGAATGATGAATTCAAAGTTAAATTAATTCAATAGTATTGAATTCACTTCTGAACCCATGTATTTCTAGTTTTCTATTTCTGCTGTCCAAGCTAATTTTAAAACTACACTAAAAGAGTATCAGGTAAACTAAGGAGGAGGAGAAGGCAGCAGTTCCAATACCTACAAAGAAATACGCCATGCCTACTGTGTCTCTTGAGGTACATTTCATAAAATGACCACAGATAAACATTCACAGGTTTTCTGCATTTAACCACTTTCCCACCAAGTTAGATTACTTATGATACTTTAATGTCCACTTATAGAATAATTAGGGTTGGAAAGGACCTTAAGATCATCTAGTTCCAACCCCCCTGACATGGGCAGGGACACCTTATGCTAAATCGTATCACCCTCAAAGTAATTCTTATATTAAGCTTACCTACAAATTTCAAAACAGTTCATAATGGTTTTGTTTTTTACAGCCTGAAATAATGAAGTTCAGATACATGGATTATAAGAAGTAATTTCTTACCATATGCTTCCTCTATAAGGGCACAATAAGGATTAACGCCCATTCCATTTTGCTTAGACTCTTGTTCTCCAAGGCGCAGAATATTTTCAAGTCCATTTAAAGCCACCTGTACTATTTTTGAATCCATCACAGTCAGGAGGTCACACAGAGGCTTGGTACAACCTAGTGCTACCAAATACCTTTATAACAGCAGAAAAACAGAGGGGTGTGGGAGGAAAAAGGAGGACTGATAATCCAGCACACATATACTGACATGCCATTCTATCATTACTGGTCCTTAATTTTGCTTTAAAAAAGTGACTGAAGCAAAAAAAATTCTAGAACATGTAACAACACACAAAAAATAAGCTTAGTCTGAATTTTAATGAATATTCTAATTTATCCTGATGAGAAAATGTAATGTGCATATTCCTAACTGGATGTGGAATTTGGAGTCTTTTCAACTCCTTTTCACTTATGATCTTCAGATGGGTCTAACTGAACGTAAGAGAAAAAGTTCATTTTGGTAGGAAGTTCTTTCGCAGACATCCAAAATTTGGTAGTGGCAGAAATATGTCTGTTATGTGTTTACTTGATAAGAACACTGGAGGCTGCTCTGTGCTAGTATAGTCCACACTGTCAGCTCACTAAGATATTAGCACTGCCTGTTATAAAGAGGACATAATTAAGTATTAAAAAAAAAAAAAGAATATTTGGACTCTGAGTATTCTATTCCTTTTTCTACTTTGCGCAAAATTGTGTATGAACTTTTGGAACTCAGAATCTGTGTCTTTGTTTCTAGTAAGAAAAATGAAGACAGTAATGTTCACCTGCATCAAAAGGTTGCTTAAATGCAGTTTATTTAGTGGTTTTAAATCATCCTGAAGTTAGACAGTAGTACCTTCAGGACACAAAAAAAGACTAAAACTTTGTGACACAGACAATATATCTGTATTTTGTAACAAGAATTTACTTTTACCATGTTACAAACACATTAAAATTTATTTAAAATATGCTAAATTTTAAGATGTTACATTATATGTACAAAGTAATAGCAAAAAAAAAAAAAACAACCCACCAGCAAACTTTCCTCACCTCTGATAACCATTAACGGTTAAAAAAAAAACCCAGAACTGTTTACATTTAAAACAAATAAGCATGCATTTATAGCAACAGATTTCCCATATGCTATGATATCGCTTTCAGTTCTGGCTTCCACTGCCATTTATAAATCCGTTTATTGACTGCTGATTCAAACCTGATCACTTTTCTGACAGTATTCAGGGAAATTAGAAAGTATTTTATATTAGTAATTCAAGAAGTCCAGTCTCTGAAGCACATACACAGCTACTGACAGTAAAATTTTAATCAAATTCCATTTTGAAAAAGTTTAGATGCCTGCTTTAAAATAGTACTGATAAGCAAGTTTAAAATATATGAAGAAACCACTAAGATTCCTGAAGTCTCTCCACAAAGATACAATCCCATTGCAAAAGTTTTCTAAACAATTCTCACAGAGTTCTCACTTTTCAACACTGACACTGTTCATTAAC